AGCTTATACATTAAGCTGGTAAATGATAGCCTTGTGACTTGAACCAGGGAGGCTGCCTCCATGCTGGATGAATTATAAGTTATGAAAGAGAAGAACACAAATCTCTAAGTTTTGCAAAGCGAACAATATTCATTTATGTATTTCCAAATAATATGTGATATGGTTTCTCATGTTGATGATACAGATGGGCTGTATCTGTTTCAATGAACAAGTAAAATTTGAGGAAAGAAGCTAGTAGTTTTCAGTTTTGTGTTATGTTCTTTGAATAAAATGTAGGACAGAATGAAATTATTTTATTCGTCCTCCTATTTTCTTCTTTAAAAAATGTTAAGATTATAATGCTCATTATGCCATTGGCTTATTGATTTGGACTGATGACTTTCTTTAAGAATAGATTAGAGCTTTGGGGAAGATAAATCTTCTGGAAAAGTCTTGATTACATTATATTAGCTAAATTGTAGTTGATTTCTTGATTTTATATTTCAGCCACGCCTTTTCTTCATTATGCTAATATGACTTCAGGTTAAGTCAATGTATTGAAGTAGGACTGATTTGCCTGAGCTGTGGGAACATAAGTCTTTTCCCACTAGGTAAATGATAGCAATTAAATGAAATTTGGCATAGAAGGGAAATAATTTTCCCATAGTTTTGTCCCACTAGCATACAAAAGTTCTGACACCGCACAAGCCACAGGGCTTGCTGCAACTTTGGTGATATACCACTCAGCATAATCTGGTTGCCAAAAGGCTGTGCCTGCAGCTTGTGCTGAGAAAGATTCATTAGCGTCCTTTGGTGGCAGATATACTACAAAAGTGAATCTGAACAGAATGGGTGGCTAAGTTAAAAAAAAAAAAAAAAAAAAAGTAGGTGAATGTTACTGGCAAAAGGCAGTACCTGCCCTGGTGAAAAGTATGGGCATCAAGCAGACCTGGTATGGAACCAGCAGTAATTATTGGTAAGTCAATTAGCCTCTTTAAGCATTGGTTGCCTCTTCTTTAACAGGAGATATCTACCTCATAGAACTGTTAAACGCATTAAATAGTTGTAATATGACTAGCACAGTACATGGCATAATACAAGCTTAATGAAAAGCTACTTCTCAACAAATTTAATTACTGGGGTGGGGGAAGTATAAGTTAAATAATTTCAAAGACATAACATAATAATTAGACATTATTTTCCATTCCCCAAAGTCCATTTTAGAAGTCTGAATTCTTATATGCAGTTACTCATTTTCTGCTTAATCTTTAAAACTAAGGACATATTGTTTCTCCAGGGAACTCTCAAAAACAAACCAAAGCAGAATCCATGGTATTTACTCAAATCTAAAGAGATGAGTTTCTTATTTTTAGGATAATTTTGGCCAAAGATCAGAGAAATCCTTTTTTGTTGGCACTAAATTAGAAGTGTTCCTAGTTCCAAGAATCATATACTAGAAAGTTTTCCAGAAAGGTCTCCTTTAATCTTTACTCATGATACAGTTAGATAATATATCAACAGCACTGGGTTCTCATCTTTCTTCTTTCGTTGAAGTGTTTTCATGTGCATTTGTACTCATGACAAGCCTACTTTAAACACCAGTCTTACGGGGGTGGGAGGAAACAAACGGTAACTCTGTTTGTGTGATTAGGGGAAATAATTTGGTTACTGCCTCCCCTCTGGCAAGGGAATCTCTGTATTTGCATTTTCCAAGAGTAGCCACTAGTCACACGTAACTATATAAATTTAAATAAAATGAGTTAGTGTCCTCTGTCACACTAGCCACATTTCAAGTGTTCAGTAACCACATGTAGCTAGGAGCCAGCAAACTGGGCAGTGCATATATAGTTTCCAACATCTCAGAAAGTTTTATCAGGTAATATTGCTAAATGATTGACAGTGAAGATACCCAGTTACAGTTTAATTTTTCTTTCTTAAGTGTAATAAGATATAGGCACCTTCTATTCCTTAAGAGAAAAAAAGTATGTAAAAATACCTCTAGCACAAAATGTGAAACTAAAGGCCATCTCAGGCTTTTATCCCTTCCCCTTGTATTGGCTTAAATTATTTCATGGAAATGGAATGGCTCCAACCTTGTGATCCCATGTTCTGCTGGTGAGCCTATCAAATTCACCTATGTCATAAAGAAGCATGGCATGGCCCCTGGGTAGTTTGTTGAGGCAGGATTGCCTGAGGTAACCTGACACATTCCACGACTCGAGTACTCCTATTAGTCAGCTGAATAATTAGAACAGCTATTCAAAAAAGGATACCCTGGAACTGTTAACCTAAGCCAGGTGGTTTTAGGCAATAAAGTGGCCCTTTCCTTTCCTGCTGTTCCTATTTGAGATTTCTTGAATTTTGCAATTTCCCCTCTCTCATGATCCCATTCTCATTTTACTTAAGCTTCCTATCTGGTATTTCTTGGAGAGTTCTTGCCATAATGACAGAATTGGTGATGCCACACAGCAAAAAGAACAGACAAGAATAAACTTTTCATGGCCAATGAGGATAATTAAATGTCAGGCCTTCATGCCCTGCTGGGCTTTTCCTTCGCTACCCTGTACCAAGGTCTTATTTGCCTGACACTCCAATTCCGTCAGAGAATGTCGAGAACAGCCTAAGCTGCATATTCTTTTGCAGTATATACAATTCTGTATTAAAAGATTCACCAAAAGGTAAAGGGGACAGAGAAGAAAATACAACAGGAAGGGGTCTTTTTTTACTCCAAGATTTCTCACCATCACAAATGGAACTCTTAATCAAACCTGAAAGAGATTGTGGATATTTATAACATTGAATTCTGTTCCCAAGTAAACTTTCAAGGACAGAGATTTTAGTTTGAGAGTAACTAACAGTAGAGGAGAAAATAGGCAGGTCAAACTTGAAGTCATCTAGAAGAAAAGGGGAAGAAAAAGAAGCCAGCTGACTCCTAAGAGGTTATATACATAACAATGGAGGTTTGTGAGTCTCTTAACTATTCATTCACTTTCTCCCTTTCTTCAATTCAGCTGAACTTTCACCATCTGCAGATTTGATTCTGCTGGCATCCCTGCCTCAGTGACATACGCCACAACAAATGGCTTACATCTATTCCTACTATATTGTATATGTTCCTAGAATCAGAAGTGAGACAATGAATACATTTTCCCATAAAGACATTACATTTATAATGATTCAATAAATTTAGGTTTTAAGAGATCATTGGCTATAACACGAAGAATTACTTGGGGGCAAGAATGGAAACAAGTAGCCATCTAGGAGGCCACTTCGAAAGTCTAGGCCATAGATTGTAAAAACTGTTTTGGGAGGTAGTGGTCAGAATGAATGGAAAAAGATAGATGGATTCAGTATATATTTTGGAGTAGAGATGACAGGACTGAGTCTGGTGTAGGGAATGGGGAGGGGAAGCAGGAAGGGATGATACTGACATTCACTGAGATGAGGAATATTAGAAAAGACACACATGAGAAGAGAATCTGGGTGGCAGAGGTGGGGTGAGGATGACGAATACTGTTTTTGATATGTTAAGTACCACATCTGAGTGGAAATATTAAGTAGGCAGCTGAATCTAGGACTCTGGACTTAAGAAGAAAGAAATGGGCTGGAGATAAAAATTTGGTGGTCTTTAGCATACAGAGAGTATTTAAAGCCATGGAATCAGTTGAGATCACACATAAAGAGGGAATAAAAAAATAATGAGGGTACCATCCTTGTTACATTTGAGGTTAGGGTCTATATAACACTGCATTAGGAGTTTTATAGAACTTTTAGGTTTCTCTGTGGACTATTTAATATGTATAATTGAGAATATGCATTTAAAATTCTAAGTAATAGACATAAAACACATATTTCTGAACACAAGTATTTCTCCTGTGGGGAAATGACAGTTTAATAAAGGATTTATATCAAGTAGAATCACTGTAGCGCTTTGAGTTTCATATAGAAGTGAACACATCTTACTCTTCAATGACCGTACCTGGTTATTTTTCTGGATTGCTTGGAACCATATAGACCAGAGTTTTCTAAAAATCTTATTTGATATTTCTACCTAGTTTACCTCATTTTCTATAACTATAACCAGAGAATAGAAGTTTCTTCCCTGCTTTATAAGAAAAGAATAGCTCACTGAGACAATAAGCATAAACTTATTAACTGAATCACTAAGTGGTAAAAATTTTTGTAGAGTTGAATTAAACATTTACATTTGGCAGTTAATCAGGCAAAATACCAAAAAATATGAAAAATTAAAGTGCTGTTTTGTTGTAACAATTTCAGAAAAAAGTACTGCAATAAAAGGGGCACAACTCAAAATTCATTACATACATATCTTGCCACAAAGAATCTTCTATTATCTGTTTCAGTATCTGAGCTATGTTGAAGTCAGCAATTTGTACATTCTGTGGCTTCATTTTTTCTTTTCTTTTTAAATCAGCTACCACACTTCTGAGAACCAAATGTTTGCCAGGACTGAGTCAAATTTTCCTACCTTTTGAATAAGTTTGTTTCTTGATTTCTGTGTATTTCTCAGAACAAGGCCAATTTGTATCACAATCTGGAGTCAGAGACAGATTGAAAAAGACTGTCAGATATTCTTGGCATCTGTTATCACCAGGGCTGTCACACACGATGCTCCAGACATTCCCTGATCTGACCCAATCTTAAGCACCTCTCCTCTCCTTACACATGACTTCTTCTACTGGGCCCTCTGAATCTTCTACTTTTCATCACAAAGCTTTATGCATTCAGTCTGTCCTCTTAAACGTTGTTGCTCCCTATGTGTTGCAACTCAAAACTGACGGACCAGTAGGTTTAATACTATTCTATAGCCCTCTCAAGCAGACACAATTTACTCTTCTAGCTAGGCACCTTTCAGCACCGCATGAAATAACCTCACATGTAATTTCCTATATGTTCTTCCCTACTAACATTTAGATCTTTTAAATTTGGGTAGCACATTTCAATCAAGGCTACCCAAATTTGGTGGTCTTTAGCATTCCAGTAGCACTGGAAATACAGACTTCATTTTAGAGTTTTCAGAAATTTTATTGATTTATATAGAAGGTGGGTTTTACTGTTTTATGAGGGTTAATTTTCTTACAGGATCTCATTCAGAAACACAGCAACTTTAGCTAAATCCTTTAAAGCAGTAGCCAAAATCTATTAGCTGGGGATTAGTTGGTTAACTACATTGTAGGTGAAATGATTGCTTTTTTGATTGATTCAATTATTTATTAACTCAATTATACACTAAGTCCTCACTACAGGCTAGGCAATATTAAATGAACTGATACAACAAAACAGATGCAGTCTCTCTTCTTAGGAGGCAGATATAAACAAATAAAACCACAAATTGTTAATTATAAGTAACAATTAAAACATTAATTATATAAGTACTCCATAGTAAAAGTTCAATATATAGCGATTCCGGGAAGGGGAACAATTTAAGGGAGAGCAACTTGTTGAGAATGAATGTTTGGGAAGGTGGGGATTAGAAAACAAAACCAGATCAAAGAAAATTTTACCCACTCTTTCCCTTCTAGTTAGGTATAGCAATGATTGGTGAACAAGTAGCCCGTGCATTATGGAGGATTGGGTGTGTTAAAAATGTGTTTATTTATCAGTTAAATTCAGGGAATAGTTTTAGTTTTGCCTAGCTTAAAAAAAAAAAGCCCAGCAGTCAGCAGTCACAACTGTGAGCTCTCATATATAGTGATAACATCCACTTCATCCACTTACTCTGATGCCAATGGCGATGCCTACAAGGAAGGAGCCTGTGGATTCAGAACACACTGGCTTTCTGCTTCTTGTTAGCAGTCTTTGGAGACACAGCAGAGTTGTTTACTAGTATGTAAACAGAAGCCCAGAGGCGAAGTGCTTTGATCCAAGTCTCCTTTTCTCCTGGAGTTTTATAAATATTTTCCAGGTTTATATATATATTTTTTTCTTATTCAGATGTATTATTCTTTTAAATATAGAGAACATGTCCTGATTCCGTTCAGTTTGTCAGATAAAAAAAGAAGTTACAATAATAGATAACTGACTCAGTGCAGAATAACACCAATCATAGGGACATTGTTCTGGTTTTGATTTCAAAGCAATCACTGAGTAAGCTTCCTTTGAAATGGAACGTGAGTCAGCATTCAGCAAAGCTGAGTTTAAACCTCTACTCTAGATTCTGAGTGACAGAAAGCTTTTAAATAGGGCACTGTTTGTTCATAGTTTGGGGTATCTGATTTACTTGGCTTTGTTAGACAATAGAGGCTTTGGTTCAGTTATATTTTTAACATTCCTTAAAATAAATCAAAGAGTGTTCCCATTTTGGATGTGGATTGGTATGGTAGAGGAAATGAGGAACTAAAAAGTGCCAAGTATTCAGGGATTACTTGCTGGGCTCTGTGCTGGACTGCCTTGGTTAATATTTTTTTGGTTGCACGTAATAGAAACTGGCTCTGGCTAGCTTAAGGGAAAAAAGTTAGTAGTGCTAACATACTGGAAGGGTATTTGGGTATCTCACAGAATCCAAGACTCTTGGAAAAATGGGTTGGGGGAACCTCTAACCTTAGATATAGGGGTTCATGTCTGTCTCCCTATGGAAAAATAGTTGAAGTGATGTCACCATAAGACTTTTCATAGGAGGCTCACCTGGGGTCAGGTCTTCACCTACAGATCTGTCAGTCAAGGTTAGAGGGGCAGTATGGTTGAGCCACTTGTTTGTAGGTATCCACACCTGTATTTTGCAATTAATTTCCAGAGAGAGGGAAATTATTATAAACTGGAGGCTATACCAGCAAAGTCTATATGGGGTACTTTACAAGATTAATTTTTTAATAGTCTATAAAAATCACTTTCCACCTCACAAATGAGAAAACTGAGACTCAAATTAGTTTGGCAGCTTGTCTAAAGATCTACAATTAAAATGTAGCAGGGCTAGAAGACGAAGTATGTCTATAAGGAAGGTTAATCTTGTCCTTAAAATATTCAAGTAGTATGATAAGACTACCTGAGACAGAAAATTTCAACTTAAGAAAAATTCTAAAAAAAAAAAATTAGATATATGTTTTAAAGAAATTAATAATAAAAGTAACAACCAAATAAGTTTAGTAGCTCTTTTAATTACACTGAGAAATCTGAAAAAAGTACAAAGCCCATGAAAGTAGATGCATTTTAGAAAATAAAACATTTCCACACACACATTTTAATGACATTTTAGTTTTGAATTAAAAATATTCATGATTTTGCATTGAAGCATACTGTCTGTGAATTAAGTACATTTTGACATACTGAGAAAAGATTTTATATATCCTGTATCTGAAGCTGAATTCCTATAAAAGGCTGAGTTATATTCTCTTTCTAGAGATTAAGTTCACAATTTGATTTGTAGACTAATGGTTTTATTGATTCAAAGTGACTTCAAAGAGTATAAATAGAAAATAAACTAAAGGGGGGTGTGTGATATATGCTTATTTGATGTATAAGATCAAAGTTGAATTAACATAATAATATTTAGTGCTTTTAATTGTATTGTTTCTTTTCAGTAGAACAATGAAAACACATAGATCCAACTGCAGAAAAGAGGTTAGATGATGCCAGAATGATTCTTTATATCAGTGTTTTATTTCCAATTATATAAATAGGTGATGTTGAAATCCATGCTATTTCTATCCTCAAAATAAGATAAATGTATGGTTACATTCTAGCATCTCATCAAGAGTCATCATGAAACAATAATATATTTACTACTTTTGCCAAATAATATATAACAGACTACCACAGTCTATAAAGTTTTCTTAATTACTTTTGATAATGTGGCACTTTACAATGACTTTGGGTCTTATCATACTCTGTTGCTGCTACTACTACTAATAAAATAATAGTAAATGTAAAGGAGAAATCAAAAGAAAATAAATTAGATCACTTGATAGTTCTAAATGTTGTTTTGGTTTATCCTTGAACTGGAAATCAATTCTACATGATATGGAAAGAAAACAAACAGATCTTTATAATTCAGAGCATGTATTTTGAAGGTGTAATAATTTATCCAATGCCAGTGTGGGTTTGCTTGTCATGTTCTTTTTATTCAATGTCAACTGGTTCCGTAGCTATTAAAGCACTTAACTGTTTTTGCGCACAGGAGAGGAACAGTTCCAAACTGGACAGGCTTCTTTGACGGATGACTTGATCAAGCTGTTGAATTTTTTTTAAGACAGGGAGAAAGAGAAAAAAATATACTTAGCTGAAGGATAAAGAATATTATGTTACTAAAGCCCACTAGAAAAAAAAACTTTGCAGATGAGACAATTTAGGAAATCAAATAGTACTTAAAACTGAATGATGTAGTCACTTTTTCTGGGCTAAATAATCTAAGATGAGATGATAATCATTATAGTTTTATAACTGATGTTATTCAGTTATTGGAGAAAGATCATACATTTGATCAAAATGATTTCAGAAAACATAAAATAGTATTAAAATGTCAGTTCTCAATGTATATATACAACCAAACATGCACAAATATATTACAGATGCAAGTAACAAAATAAATACATAGTACAGAAACACAGCATAATCACATCGTGCATAGGGTTTAGTGGAACAAATAATAAGGGAGGAGATAAACAATTTGTTGAAATTGAGGAAAGTTTTGGGGAAAAGCATGCTTTAAAAAATATTTGAGGCCAGGTGCAGTGGCTCATGCCTGTAATCCCAGGGATTTGGGAGGCTGAGGTGGGTGGATCATTTGAAGTCAGGAATTTGAGATCAGCCTGGCCAACATGGTGAAACCCCATCTCTACTGAAAATACAAAAATTAGCTGAGCATGGTGGTGCACACCTGTAATCTCAGCTACTTAGGAGGTTGAGACAGAAGAATTGCTTGAACCCAGGAGACAGAGGTTGCAGTAAGCCAAGATTGTGCCACTGTACTCCAGCTGGGTGCCAAAGTGAGACTCTGTTTAAAAAAAACAAACATACAAAATATCTGCTATTGTTGAAACTTTTGTCCTTGTCCCTCTGCTAAGGTAGAGATGTCTTATTAGGATGTTTAATTATTTCAACAGCAAACTCATATAGTAAACTAAACAAGAGGGTTAGTAAGGGAAATCATTTGCATTATATGTAATAAATAACACTCTAGATGGTAAAGATTATTGAATATAAGAAGAACAGCTTCAAACTTTTGGCCCTAAAAAATTTGCCTATGGGGTAAAAATAACCGAACAATGAAAACACCTTCCCTATAGTTTACAGAACAATGGAGGAACTAAAAGCCAAATAAATCCCATTTCATATTATATACTTGTCATACTTACGCAAAAATTGACATTCTTCTCACAAGCCTCTGCATCCCCCACAAAGGCAAACCCAAACATTAATTCTCTATTAAATTATACTTCCATAATCACTATACTCAAAATGGCTGAAAAACTAGATGATTAAAATACTGGAGTATTCTAAGAATTAATCAAATAGAGTGACTATATTTAGCAAAATACTCCTATAAAATAATTGAACTATACTGAAGCCCTTCAATTCTAATATTCAGAGATTCTATGTACGGAAATAAGATTTCTGCTTATCCTTTTTCCTCCCAGATTTTTTTCCTTCTTCCTCTACTAGATGATACCTTCAGGTGAATACATACCTTTTGCTTACAAGACTACTAAACAAAAGAGATCTTAGAATGTAAGTTACCTCTTGTCTATCTTGCTAACTACTTTATCCCTAGCATCTAGAGGAGGGTCTGGCACATGTTAGACAGGCAATAAATATTTGCTGGATTGAATGAATCAAGATACAGAACCCCAATCAAACAAGGCAAACTACTGGGAAATGAGAGATATACTTTTAATGCTATGACCCATAGCATGCTAAAATAATCTAAAAGATACATGGGAGGTTAAAGTCATATTTTAAAAAGTTTCATTTTAATATATGTAAAACAGATTGAAATCGAAGTATTTTCAGTTTCTAAAATTATTTTGCTCTTGGTCTAAATTAAACAGTACAGAAGAATATACCAATACTCAGTTCCAGTCCATTCTCCAGTTTTCTGTCTACTTTTGGATGTTTTAAAGCACGTAAAGATGGGTTTTTAAAAATACGCAGTCCACATAATATAATTCTTATAATTATTGAGTTTGAGAGGGTCCACCCAATCACTTTATTTCACTTCCATTACTGGAAGTTTTCCCTATCTCACTTTTAAAAAATTGCTGGCTGGGTGCAGTGGTTCACACCTGTAATCCCAGCATTTTGGGAAGCTGAGGCAGGTGGATCATGAGGTCAAGAGATTGAAATCATTCTGACCAACAGGGTGACACCCTGTCTCTACTGAAAATACAAAAATTACCTGGCCACACACCTGTAGTCCCAGCCACTTGGGAGGCTTAGGCAGGTGAATCACTTGAACACAGGAGGTGGAGGTTGCAGTGAGCAGAGATGGTGTCACTGCACTCCAGCCTGGCAACAGAGCGAGCCTCTGTCTTAAAAAAAAAATTGCTTATCTGTATTTTATAATTTATTTAGGTATTCTCCCTTACAGACATGTAAGTTTATTCTAACCTTTTAAGTTGTTTTTCAAGCAATAAAATTTACAATCTGAGTGCACATCCTTTAAAAGATGTTGAAGATACTGGAATTTGTCAATGTCGTTTCTGCATATTGCAAATTATGGTACATATTGCCAAATTTGCTTTCCAAAGAGAATACACTAAGTTATGAGTCCCAATTGCAGTGTTAGGAGAGGATCAGTATCTCTTGTTTTATATTCTTTTAAACAGTTACATAATTTTCATTTTATAGCTATAATATATGTAACAGATATTTTAATATTTTATTCTATTAGCAGACATTTAGATTGTTCATAAAATTTGGCTACTATAATTAAGGCTGTAATGAACAGTCTTCAACACAGACCTCTGTATACATGTTCTAGTACAGCTTGTAGAAATTGTTTGAGCCAAGAATATGTAGTTTGCAATGCTACCTCTAATTATAAATCAGCTTTCTATAAATGCATGAATCTGTTTTTAGGCTCTCCATCATGTTCACTTGGACAATTTACCTATCTCTACACAAATGTAATGCTATTTTAATTACTACAGCTTTATAATAAACTTTAATATATCAATATTACCAACATAAAATATTTCAGAAGAATATAAATTAGTGGGCATTTGTAAGAAAACTGAGTTTAAAAAGGAAGTGACCAGACTACAGATAGTCTCATAACTATTTTTTTGCACAGGCACAAAATATAAGCAAAACTCAGCAGTATATTGAGACATATAAATAGCAAAAACCCATTTCTTCCTAAGGTAAGTAAACAATGCAATCAAAACTGAACCAAGGATAGTCGTATTCGGAGAATGAAGTCTGGCAGGATGAAATACGTAATTGTGTTTGGAGGTGGCTCCATGGGTATTTATTATTATGCTTCATAACTTGTGTATGTATAACATATGTGCTAGCTGTTAACAATTGAAAATCTTTCATAAATCCCCCAGAACAATCAGGAGTTACATTAAAACCAAACATGACTTAATATCTTAGAATTTTTAGAAGCTAGCTAAATGAGAAACTTTTCTCCTTTTGAGGGAATATAATACAATTTCACAGTGTGTAACAAGCATTCAACCTGTGATTGTTGCTAAGTAACAATAATCTGAATTTGTGCATTCAGAATGAGTATTTCTGTAACTTTTTTAAGAGGATATACATAAGGACAAAAAATTTTGATAGATTTCTGTTTGAACATACCACGTTTCTCTTGCTCGTGTTAGAAGTCACCATGGAATTGCTGACTATAAGAAGATAGGCATAAAGGTTTTGGTTTTAGGCAGCTGCCAAGGCTTATTTCACATCATTTCATGCCTCCCCAGAACACTGAAAGTAAGAAGCCTTTAATAAAACAGGAGTACAATACTTTAAGAAGCAACAAGGTGATATTGATACTTTATGGGAGGAAAATAGAGATTGGGCCATCATAAAACTGAGCTTCCCTTCTTCTTGGGCATGGTACATAGAGCACGGCTGTGAGATGGAACATATGCAACCTTTCTCTTAAAAGGATGTTGAATTCCTCTCTCTGAAACAAATACATCAAAGTGATGTTTTTGGCAGATTCCTGAATTTCAACAGTTACTCTTTTATTACGCATGACCTTATTATCCTTTATTGAGGCAAGAATTTTGGCAAAATATTCAACTTTTTTGCTCCTTGAGGCATGGGACTTAGTTCTGTATTTGTGGCTTTCATTTTAAAGTGAATCAAAGATTTGTATTCTGTGACATAGTAATAAAAAATATTATGTCCAGAGTAGTGGTGGCAAACATTTTTTTGACATGAGGTTTAAAATCTCTTCATAATAGCATAGCTCTAACCAATTTGTTTTCTCTTCCATTTTTCTGTTGCTTTAACTTCTATTCAGCTCATACATATATCTGAAAAAATCTGGAAATTCTGAAGTTTCTGAAATAGAGACCTAGGCTTCAGTTACTGGTATATTACTGAAAGCCTTTTAGAAGCATACTACTTATTAAAACTGTTAATTTTATTAATCTTGGTGGGAGGGAATAGCATGACTTCTTAATAATTTCATGTATTAGATGTACCCTTCCATTCATGTTCCATGCCATAGCAAAAGAAAAAGAAAAAGAAAATATGTCTTGACCTTAGTTTTTTACTTGCCAGTCATTAAAATGCAATATGAAGGATGGTGAACTTAACATTGGTCTAAAGTGCAACATCCAACATCAATTACAAACAAATCTGACTTATTTTAATTGGACTATTTATTAAGAAGACTATTCACATCCAAAACAATCTGATTGTTTTGAAATACACACACACACACACACACACGTGTGTGTGTCAAATACACTTAGTACTAATTGCACTTTCAGTGTTTTGGGCTTCTACCAACAAAATATACCAAGAAATCTGAACATATTACATCTACCTTTATCAAGATTACTTTTCCAACTTACACTCCTACACATTTTAAATTTATGCTTAAAAGTGATTTCATTTTTCCAAAAAGCTAGGATGGATATCCAGCAAATCCACTGATGGGTAAAGTGACTAGGGCAGACCACTTAGAGAAGTTGGTAAGAGACTTGAAAAAAGTGAGAGAAGAAGGAAGCTATCTAAAAACATGAGGAAAGAAAATCTCAAGGTAACTGAAA